CCTCCTCCGGCCGCCCCCTCCCTCTTTTTTCTGTTTTCACTGTAGTTATTTACTATTGTATAATGTAGTTTTTTTTACTGTTTTTAGTAAGTGTTTAAAATAATTAGTAAGTAAATTAATAAACTAGTTGTACTAGTTTAGTTTAGTAAGAACTAGTTGAATTAATAGAACTAATGTATTTTTAGTAAGAAAATTAATATAACTAGTTGAACTAGTTTATTTTAAAAAAAACTAGTTTATTTCTATTTATAGTAAATTTATATTTAGTAAGAACTAGTTGAATTAATAGAACTAGTTGAACATGTCACATTTGTTGTTATTTTTTAGTTTAAGCAATTATTCCCGCATCGACATCGACGATGCCTATCCCGCATCCTCGTCGTCGATACCCATCGTTCGCTAGGGTTTTAGTTGTATTAGTGATGTTATATGTATGATACTATTCGGGATGTGTTAGTGATAACTTATAGGGTTTTTCTTTTGCAGAAATCAAGGAGCCCCTCCATCATCCCCGTCGTCGTCCCCGTCACCGACCCCCTCCAACCTCTAGGTGAGACCATCCAAATCTCCATGTCAATGTGAGTCCTATAAGATATGATGTAGATAAAAACATGTATATCTTTTGTTGCTCAAATAGGATATGTGGTTGCCCAAGTGGCCGGTCATGTTCAGGTTACACCTCCGAGTGGCCTATGTTTTGCCGGAGTGTTGATTAATTTCCGTTCCGGCAAATTTCAGGCGCTCGATATGTCCTGTTTTAGCAAAGGTCATGCCGGAATTTTCCGTGAATTCTGGCATGACTTGTGCTAGAATATGTAGGAAATATCGAGTGACCTGTATTTTCTAGGAAGATAATTAAATGATATTTCGGGTTGACTTTAAGTCTGTCGAGGCCGAAGAATCCCGACTGTTGTCGTGGGGGTCGTTTCTCCTTCTTCTCCAGGTGCTAGACCTTTGTTATGCACTAGGGGAAGGAGAAGTAGCGACCATCACCGACGGTCACAAATGTCAGAGAGGAATCAGTGAGGGAGAGTCTCCACCATATATGAGAGGACGAAGAATCCCGACTGTTGTCGTGGGGGTAGCTTCTCCTTCATTTCCGTGTGCTAGACAATTTGGTGTAATGCACTCGGGAACGAAATGAGGAGCTACCATCACCGACGGTCGAATCTATACACCACGTGAGCTGAGAGTTTTCAAGAAAAGACTCGATAGACCGATAGTCAACCCGTGAGGAATAATGAACAAGCTGAGAGTTTTAATTGTACAAGTTTAATCTTTGAATTATGAACATAGGAAATGTCGTCGAACGAAGAAGGTCCCGGGGAGTGCTCCTGGTGCGGCGACAACAGGGGTTTCTGCGACAGGCCTCACCTGGACGAAGGTCGGCGCTTCAACATTAAGCTCGAGGAGGCCTTCGATTGTGATACCGTAAGCTACGACGCAAAGTGTTTTTTTCGTAATTAAGCTCGACTTCTACTACTTCAATGTGTAATTTTCGTCTTTCACAATTCGACTAGCTTATTCCATGCCATGCAAGACACTATGTCTTAGAGAGGATGGGTTTTGAAGATCATGAGAGGAATGAAACAAAGAAAATTCACATGACTACTAATAGCAAGACTTCACCCATGTCCTCAAGAACAAACGTAACTACTCACAAAGCATATTCATGTTCATGATCAGAGGAGTATTATATGCATTAAGGATCTGAACATATGATCTTCCACCAAGTAAACCAATTAGCACCAACTACAAGGAGTAATTAACACTACTAGCAACCCACAGGTACCAATTTGTGGTTTTGATACAAGATTGGATACAAGAGATGAACTAGGGTTTTGAGAGAAGATGGTGCTGGTGAAGATGTTGATGGAGATTGACCCCCTCCCGATAAGAGGATCGTTGGTGATGACGATGGTGATGATTTCTCCCTCCCAGAGGGAAGTTTCCCCGGCAGAACAGCTCTGCCGGAGCCCTAGATTGGTTCCGCCAAGGTTCCGCCTCGTGGCGGCGGAGTTTCATCCCATAAGCTTGCTTATGTTTTTTTTTTCAGGGTAAGAGGCTTCATATAGCAGAAGATAGGCACCAGAGGGCCAACAGGGGGCCCAGGAGACAGGGGCGCGCCAGTAGGGGGGGCGCCCCCCACCCTCCTGGCCAGGGTGTGGGCCCCCTCTGGTATTTTCTTTGCTCAATAATTCTTATTAATTCCAAAAGTGACTTCCGTGGAGTTTCAGGATTTTTGGAGCTGTGCAGAATAGGTTTTCAATATTTGCTCCTTTTCCAGCCAGAATCCCAGCTGCCGGCATTCTCCCTCTTCATGCTAAACCTTGTAAAATAAGAGAGAATAGCCA